CTTTATACCACTTTTTTACCAAGAGCTCTCCGAGATAATGCCGTAAAGGAGACCAGGCAAATAGCAAGCCATAAGATTCACACACTAGAGCTTCTAGTTTTGATAAAATTATTTTATTTCGCAATGACAAAGAAATCAAAAGATTTTAAATTTGCACTAAATTTGCTAAGCTCTGCCAACGTACCTCTAACAATTCACTCCTAAGCGACGGAATTAATATCATCCAAAGGAAGTTGTAAATACAGACATACATAGATATGTGTAAAATGTCACTAACATGAATGAATGAGTCTCGTGAATGAATCTTTCACCCGCTCTCGACTTGACCTGTTTTGAGTAATGGCGGAGGTCTCTTCCGTTGACAAGTAGGCCATATATCCGTCGCTTATTTCTTTTTTTCTTGCCACCAATATCTGTTTTTACTTCTGTTTTACAGAATTGCAGTGAGCTGGCTTTCGTATTTGGTTTCAGCGTGAAGTTTGGGCCAACATGTTTGCCGATTTTCGCCAGCCATCACCCACTTGTCGAGCTTCTGAGGCTTCGGCAACCTACAAAATCATCCTGTTTCCTTGAAGATATACGCGTCCCTTTTGATTGCAAACAGCAAATCAGTACGAAACATTAAAAGCAGAAGACGTCCCACGTCATTGTATTTAAAAAGACGTCCATACAAAGTTATTTTAGGTGGAATCCGTGCTAAACACTCTGCAAGTTCACTGAAAGTCTTCATTTGCAATTTTTGTTTTCCCTCCAATGCCTCGCTTTCATGACTAGGCACCAGTTTTTTCCCGCGTGTCCGCCATTTGTGAATACGGTGTATGCGTCAGGTAAGAAGTAGTGAAGATGTATTCACAACTGTCCATTAAATTGTCATCTATCCCAGCCAATAAATTGTGCGACCCAAATATTGAGCCAGAGGCATTTATGGAGTATTTCAATTCATGCAAAATCTCACACAAAAGCTGCCCTTCATCATTCCCTACAGTTCTCATTGGAGCATTGCATTCAGTTATAGTAGGTTGAGCCATGTAAGGACCTTCTTTGCAAGAGGACGGGGAACAATCACACTTTTCAGTGCACACGTCACAACAGTCATGTAATGGGGAAACTTTTTCATGCTTCGCCAAAATCTCATGTCTGCATTTGGTTTCTGGATTGTTGGTGAATGCTTTCATGTTATCATCATAATGCGCCAAATGATAGGACTTCAAATACAATATACCGTAGCTTTTCCTCCCATCTCATCCTGCCCGCCCGATTTCCTGAATGTATTCTTCTATGGTATCAGGTATGCCAAAATGGCATACTCTTTGTACATTTGGGATATTTACCCCCATTCCTAGGGCTGTGGTAGCAACCTCTACCCTAACTGGACCATCCGTGGGAACAAAATTATCTAAGGCCTTTGTTTTCAAAGTCTCAGGTTACATGGTAATGATGGAGATTCTCCATCAACAACACTGTCCAGCATATAATATAATTCTCCACAATAATTTATTGACTGACAGTATGTTATTGTTTTGCGCGTTTTATTTTTTCTGTCTTGAGTTCTTCTGTCAGCCGAGAAAATGTTATTTCCAACTCCTCTTCTTGAGAAAGTTTTCGCATTGACATTTTTATATTGTTTTATCAGGTGGCTTACTAATTAAAAGTACATTTTTCGTGTACACAGTCTTGATAATTAGCTTTCTTGTTTTCTTGCTGCTGTTGTACTTTAGTAGCCTGTGTAAGCATGGGGGTTTTGTCGAGCTGGGTGCACGAGCGGCAGAGCCACAAAATTTGCACGCAAAGCGTGCAAGAACAAGCGGCGCAGCCATGAGAGAAATAAAAACCGCCTGCCCTGATTCGAGGGGTTTTGACTGCCACCCCCATCACCTCATTTTGAAACCCGGGGTGACAACTTGTCTGGTTTCAATTTCCACAGTCAATCATAGGCTTGATAGTAATATGAAACTTCGCGTGAAAGTGTGGCATGTTTGGCAAGAAATCAAATCAAGTCCTCATGCTCTTTTGTCTTTTTCAATGGCTATGCAGGGCGATACCCCGAAAAACCTTGCCAATGTTCAACGGGCTTGGAAAGAGAGAAGGATAACTCGGCTGTGATGAAAGTTGATGACCATTCTGGTAGATTCAAGCAGCTTTTGCCAAGAACAATTTCATCGCCAGATTGAAGTCCTCAAGGCAGAAAAGGGAAAAAAGCAACTGGACAAAAATCATCAGCGAAAAAATCTTTAAGTTTTTAAGATATTTCGAACTCTGTGGTTAACACTAACAGTGATCACAATAAACTCTCCACTTTAAACACAACAGACGACTCACCTCAGGAAGCTGGCGAACTTTTTCTCTCATATCTAAACATGGAAGACTTACTTGAAAGTTCAAGCACCGAAGCTAAAGTTGTAATTGTAAACCTGGGTGGTCGCATTGAAACGTTCAGCTCGTTTCGTGATAAAATGAAATCGATCATAGTAAACCTGTGCAGAAAAACATTGAAAACGGTTGCGAATTTGACATTCGAGCACCCGAATATTCACGAAGAGTTGCCGGATCCTCTGAGAAGAACCGTCAGCAAAGAATTCCAGGAATATTATAACAATGCCACAGATTCAGTTTTGAAAAAGTCAAGATGTAACACAAATAACACAGCTAGCGTTCGAATCACTTTACTAAAACTAGCACAACAGTAACACGAGTCGTAGGTCTCCTAAACTGCGCATGTCCGACCCAACTCGGGCTCAGGCCCCACGCTACACTACGCCCTCCCCCATAAGGTCCCAGGTACAAGAGAGAATTTTTAACTTAAGCATGCAAATGTTCCTACAAAGTTCAAGGGCCAGGTTGGATAAACAACAACTGTTCTAACATAGTCTCGTAGCCAGACAGGCTCCCTTCGCTCACGTCTCGGCCTCGCAGCATAACACGGTTCACGACGCAGTTCATCACTCACTGGAGAAACCTCAGATTGACACGGCAGGTCAGCAGATTGAGGGGATGTACTTAATGTACCACTAGATTCACCACTAGATTCACGCTCCGGGGAGGGATGAGAAACCTCTGTGACTGTAGCAACTGGATTTTCCAGCCATTCCAATTCGACATCTCCAGAGTCAACTAAGCTTCCTCGAGACGGTTGCTGCCCGTCCCTCAGGTTCTCCGCTTGTGGCGTATCTTGCGTATGGCTGGGAGAGGTTAACTGTGAGGGCTTCTCGTGGATTTCTGGTGGCGAAAAGCATGGCTTCAGATAATTGAAGTGGACCACCTTCCTCTGACGACGTTTTCCCGGCTTCCGCCTCTCCTCTTCAATGCGATAGGTAACATCAGAAAGAGCTTTCACCACCTTCCAAGGACCACACCAGGGCTTGAGGAATTTCTTTCTTCTCGTCCTGGTTCGGTTTCTATACCAAACCCGGTCTCCTACACGGAACCGCTGACCATGGCACTTGGTGTCATAATAAGCTTTCTGGGACTTCTGCGCTCGCTTGAGGTTCTCTCTCACTATCTGTTCCGTCTCTTCCAATTGCTGCTTCTGCTCAACAACATAACCGGGGTATGTCTGTGTCGACCCTTGGGAAGGTGTTGTCTCGAACCTAAGGAGAGCATCCAATGGCAGAATAGCTTCCCTGCCGAACATTAAGCGGTAAGGGGTAAATCCAGTCGACTCATGCACGCTAGTGTTGTAAGCAAGAACTGCTTTCGGCACAAAGTCCGCCCAGTCCCGGCGATGGTCAGAAATCAGCTTACTAAGGATCTTCACCAGAGATTTGTTCAGTCTCTCTACCTGCCCATCCCCTTGGGGATGGTACGGCGTTGTCCTTGTTTTCGCTGCGTCAATTAAATCGCACAGTCCTTTGAAGACAGCTCCATCCACATTGGCTCCCTGATCAGAATGCAAACCCTCGAAACACCCGAAACGGCATATGTATTCATCCATCACCTTCTTCGCCAGCGTGACTGCTGAGGTGTTTCTCACTGGGAAGGCTTGAGCAAACTTAGTAAAATGATCGGAGACCACCAGCAACCACTCATGGCCAGAGGTAGATCTTGGTGTGGGGCCTACGATGTCTATTGCGACCCGTTGTAGGGGGTGCCCTGCCTTAATGTTTATAAGGGGTGCCTTTGGAAGCTTGCAAGGGTCGTTGACTTCAGCACATGGGATACACCTTCTAACGTGCATTTCGACATCTTCCCGCATGCCGTGCCAATAAAATCTCCTCCGCACTTTTTCTAGAGTCTTCGAGACGCCAAGGTGGCCTGCTGAAGGATCGTTATGCAAGGCGCACAACACTTGTGACACGACGCTCTCGGGCAAGCAGATTTGATGATAAATCTCTTGGCCTGTCACTTCGTGTTCCCAACGTCTAAACACCAGACCGTTCCTGAGAAACAGCCTTCCCCATTGTGACCAGTATGACAAAAGTTTGCGCCCCCCTCCTTCCACATCGCCTCTAGCAGGTCTGACACCAGTTTCAAGCCACCTCACAACTTGCGACAGGACAGGATCTTGGTTTTGGGCTGCACGTATACGTTCTCTCGACAAGGGTTCCATATTCACAGACTGAATCAGGGTGGCGTCCCTCTCTACCTTAACCGATGCACCCTCGTCCCAGGGAAGGCGGGACAGTCCATCTGCATTGCCGTGCAACTGACCCGGACGATGTTCCACCTCGAAATCAAAGTCACTAAGCCTTTCAAGCCACCTAGCCACCTGGCCTCTAGGGTTTTTAAAGTTCCGTAGCCACTGCAGAGCACTATGGTCAGTCCTGACCCGAAAACATCGCCCGTAAAGGAATGTCTCGAAGTGCTCCGTTCCCCACACGAGGGCCAACAGTTCCTTCCGGGTGGTACTATAGTTCCTTTCAGCCTTTGATAGAGCGCGTGCTGCGTATGCTATTACACGTTCTTTCCCACATTGAACCTGCGACAACACCGCCCCCAGCCCACTGTCACTGGCATCACTGTCCAGGATGAACGGTACGTCTAGCTGGGGAAAAGCCAGGATGGGAGCACTCGACAATCTGTGCTTGATGACCCGGAAAGCTTCCTTGCACTCAGCTGTCCATCTGAAACGGTCCCCCTTTTGACAAGCACGGTGCAAAGGGGATGCAATGTGGGCGTAGTTTGGCACAAATTGTCTGTAGTAACCAGCCGTCCCCAAGAACGCTCTCAGCTGACTCTCATCAACTGGCTCCGGCCACTCCTTTATGACTCTGATTTTCTCTGGATCAGTAGATATGCCCTCCCGTGACACGACGTGACCTAACACAACCACCTGTTCACACAAAAGCTTGCATTTCTTGGGGTTAATCTTCAAGCCTGCTTCTGTCAAGCGTGACAACACAAGTGACAGTCTCTCCCTATGCTCCTGTAGTGTTCGACCAAAGACAATGATATCATCTAGATACACTAGACAGTCTGACCAGCATAAACCCTTCAAGATAAGGTGCATAGCCCTCATAAAACACGCAGGTGCATTCGTAAGGCCAAAACTTAGTTTGCGGAATTGGTAAAGACCATCCGGAGTTGCGAACGCCGTCTTTTCCCGATCTTCCTCTGCCACATCAATTTGCCAATATCCCCTAAGGAGGTCGAGATGAGAAAACCACTGTGCCCCAGATAAACTCTCCAATATGTCATCACACCGAGGAAGCGGGTACAAGTCTCGCTTGGTTACCGAGTTAAGAGCGCGGTAGTCCACACAGAAACGTTGACTGCCATCAGGTTTCGCTACTAAAACCACCGGAGAGGACCAAGGGGAATCGGACGGTTCTATAATCTCTGCTTCGAGCATTTCATCCACTTGGTTGCGCATTTCTTGCCTTTTGTGAAAGGGAACTCTTCGCGGCGGTACCTGGATTGGCTTGGCAGAGCCTGTGTCGATGGTATGTTGTACGCCCTTCGCAGTACCTAAATCCCACGGCCCCTTTGAAAGGCAGTCAGCATAAGTGGACAACACCTCATAATGCCTAAGTTTTTCCTCTTCCGGGACCAAATCGCTGCTGATAGGGAACATCTCTTCTACCAATAAACTGTGAACGTCAGCGTCCCTCACAAAAACCGCACTACATTGTTTAGCTTCCAATCCAACCTCAACATCTTCCTTTGAGGCCGTAGGGGGTACCACCTTGTAGCCCACACCCACATTGGTTTCCTCCTGTGATCCCTCCTCGCCAGCTAATGGGTAGAGGTCCCCTATACTGCTACACCTGTAAATCTTGAGGGGCTTGTTAAGGTAATTGAACACACGAACTGGGATTCGACCTCCTTTCACAGTCACGGCCGTCCGAAAGGCCCCAGCTGAATATCTTTCTGAAAACTTGTCCGCTGGTTCCAGTACACCCATACATTCGTCTAAGTCATCTACCCCTTGGACCTCACAAGGTATGTCTGCGACCATATTTGGAGATAATGTGACGGTTTCGGCCACAGCGATCCTGTAAACTCTATCAAGGCATCCGAAAGCCATTTTGTTGGGTCCCTCCTTGCTGTAGACAGTGTTAGTGTCAAAGTTAATAATACATTTGTGAGTTGTTAGGAAATCTACACCAATCAACACTTGTTGTGCCAAGCCTCGGCACACCAGCACTTTATGCTTAGCCCTGATTGCGCCCAGCTGAATTGTTACTTCTGTTTCTCCAACCACATCAAGTGGCATGTTATTAGCTCCCAGGACAGGCTTCAGTGCGGACTCAAGTTTGTTTATATGTGTCTTAGAGCGACTGTACAGGTCTTCACTGATAATTGTTGCTTCTGCACCTGTGTCTAATAAGGCTTGAGACTTAACACCATTGACATCACAAGGCAAAAATGCTCCCTTTGGATTCTCGGGCGGGGTCACTTTCGACTGCGCCCCGCCCATCTCCTGTTTCCCTGGTCGGGACGGACTTGATGTGGACAGTCACGAATAAAATGAGTCGGGCTACCGCATTTAAAACATGCTCTGGGGCCTTGTCCAGATTCTAAACTTTCATTCCTACCTTGCCTCCCTTGAGGAATGTTCTTGAGCTTCTCTAAGATTTCAGCTTGCTGCTGAAAAAGCTCCTTAGCCCACGCTGGGGGTTCTTGGGTGCCTTGTTGGGAGCCAAACCTTTCCTGCTCCCCAGATGTTGAAGACAGTACTCAAGCACTTCCCTTGTTTAGCACTCTTTGATTTGATTCATATCGCTGAGCTGCCGCTAGGGCCTCATCCAAAGTATTGGGCCCTAAATCCAACACCTTCTCTCGCAATATAATAGGGGTTAAAGCACCCACAAAAAAATATCTGGCCGTGCGATTGAGTATATCTGGGGGGTCATCCTGATAGGCCAGCTCCACAAGACAAGAAATGTCGCACCTCAGTTGATGTAGATCTTCGTCACGACGTCTTAATTTAGCTCGTAGAGTGGAAATGTGTACCTGACGAGATTCCTTAGGATGAAATCGATCTGTCAGAGCGCGTTCAACGGCCGTCCACATAGCTGTTTGTTCGGCAGTCAGGCTGTAATAGGTCTGTTCGGCAAGGCCTTTCAGGTACGCGGGTAATATTTGACATTGAAGCTCAGGACTCCACTTGTTAAGGGCTGCAATACTTTTAAATTTCCGTATCCAAACCACCCAACTTTCGCCGGACGTCGCAGAGAAGCTCTCCGGTTTGATGCGAAGCGGGTTTTCTGGCGACGTGGTCGGTAAACTGCCGCTTGCACCAGCCTTACTTTCACTTTTCTTTCCAAGTTTTGCCTCGAGGAGCGCCACTTTCTCTTCCAAAGCTTTCACAGTATCTTCCATGGCAAAAAATCCCACCGCTGCCACCAAATGTAACACAAATAACACAGCTAGCGTTCGATTCACTTTACTAAAACTAGCACAACAGTAACACGAGTCGTAGGTCTCCTAAACTGCGCATGTCCGACCCAACTCAGGCTCAGGCCCCACGCTACAAAGAGCCGACAATCTGGCCTCATTTTCGAATAAAGTTTTGGTTCATGAGGCGGATGTGTGGTGTCCATTCTGGATGAATTGTGTCAGGTGCGTGTAAAGTGTGAGATTCTTCACAACTGGATGTCAAGAAAATCAAGGCAATGGCCTTGATAACATCAGTTGCTGCTAGAGGAAGAAACAAGACCATGTCAGAAGTCACATACCTTATTTCTGCACTTCTGTTTCACAGTGGAGTCAAGCATGAAGATCTGCGAATTCTAACTAAACTTGGGAGTCTGCATGTCTGCAGATATGATTGTACAATTCCAGAGGAAGATGGGTGAGTGCTGTGAATCAAAAGTAGGTCATTGGAAGAGGGAGATTGAAAAGGCGAAAGTTGCTCGCCTGTTGCTGAATGAAGTTCGAGAAAAGCAGGTTGGCAATCACAGGGACGATGTGATGTGTGTTGACATCGACTGTTCAGAAGAAACCATCAGGAAATATGATTTCTTCAAGCCGGTTGCTTTCCAATTCTGCCAGGAGCACATTAACCGCTTCTCGGGTGAACAGGATATCATCACAGACCAGGAGTTAGGAGCAGCAGCAGCTGAAATTGCCAAAATTCAGCTCCCTTACTGCAGGTATATTATTAATTTTATAAACTGCAAATAAATAATCAGGAGCTGCACCCGACGATTTTTTTGGTAAAATATGTTTTCGGAGGACCAAAAATGGCCTGGCTTAAAATTATTTTTAGCTAATGTGGAAGGCTAAAAATAACTTGATGACCGTTCCATTCACGTACAGTTTTGGAACAAATAATTTTCTGCTTTTCTTTTTGCATTTTAATTCCCCGGGTTACACTATTTTTCGCAGAAAAAAGAACTCGTAATCTCGTGAAACCTAAAGTTACGTTAAATAACATCTGAAATTTTCGGGGAAATACATTGAAGCCCATGTAATTTCAAAAAGACTCGGGTTGCTAGTGGAAGACCAAACAAACACAAATTTTTTTAGCGCTGCTTTTAGATCTATAGCCTAAAAAAAATGTTTTTCAGTACATTTAGGATGAAACCGTCGTTGGGTACCCTGAAAGATTAAATGATTATTTATCAAATAGGTTTTTAGAAGTTTTAATAACTAAATTTCGGAGACGCACACAACGGTTCAGAGGTGTACTTAGTCCTTTTTTTATTTTTTTTTCTCTTGGAATTATCAGAGGAATGAAAAAATAATAATCATCTTGGCAAACAAAATTTGTAATCTTTAAAGAAACAAGTAAAATTTAAAACTGGAGGTTGGTTGGCAACAATACAGTTTTTATGGTCAATGCCAGGATCCTGAGTGTTGAGAGCAGCAACTGCTCTATTCATTGGACCCAGCAGTATGCTATTCTGAACCGTGTCAATGAGGTGGCATTGGACACAAAAAGACCAAGAAAACCCCTTAAAGAATTGCAGTTACTTGATCTGCTTCCCGCCCAGCAAGTTTGGAACACCTCAAACAAAGATGGGCAGTGTTGGTGAGCAGGATTATAAGCAAGTACCTCACAAAGTTCTATCCATTCAGGGATGTAGTTATTTGTCACATTCCACGTCACTACTCCAAGGAAATGAAGACAAAATCAAACTGTGAGTGTAACTTAAATACAATCAATGAAAACGCCTACTGGGAACAATACCCTGTAGTAAACCTGCTAGCAATATAAGTATGGCATACACAATGTATAAGGTTTTAAGGGAGGAATAAACTTGTATATATATATATATATATATATATATATATCTATATATATATATATCTAGCCGGATTTACGAAAACTGTACCATCGGACACCAGGAGCCCACACACCTTAAACTGACTCAACTAAAGTAAATATCGCCAAGAAACTCAGCTCTTACCCATGGTTCTCTTAACGTGACTCTCTTCTTGCTTTCTGATTAGCAAAAGAAACATTCAAGTCCATCAAAAAGACACTCTGGACTTGTCCATACACTATAGCTGCTTAAAGGCCCTGAATGACGGAGGACGCTTGAGACTTAAGCAAGTTCTAAGCAGAGAATTCAAGGTTAAATCACCCCCCCCTGACTTCTTCCACCCCCCCCCC